TATTTGATCCTTTTTGTGTTTGTGGCTACCACAATAATTGTGATGCATTGTTCTGAGTTAACAGAATCAGTCATATAGGGAGAAACTCCAATTTGTTATTTGAGCTTCTGATGTGATCCTCTTATCTCTCTTTCCAACCAGCAAATGGTGATGAGCCTGCGGGTGTCAGAGCTGCAGGTGCTGCTGGGCTACGCTGGGCGCAACAAGCACGGGCGAAAGCATGAGCTGCTGACCAAGGCACTGCACCTCCTGAAAGCTGGCTGCAGTCCAGCCGTGCACATGAAGATCAAAGAGCTCTACCGGAGACGCTTCCCTGCCAAAATGGTCTCCCACTCAGAACTGGCCTTGCCTGGACCGCACCATCCTGCCTCGGTAGGAGTGGTTGGGGGAGGGGGTGCTGTACTTCCCGCTGCCCTGACACAGTTAGCGTACGAGGGACATGCTGGACACGGTGGAGCCCCGTCGCCTGCTGCCTTACTGCCTCTCTCACTGCTCGGCCCCTGGAAGCACGAGCTGGCTGGACTGACACACCACCTCTCCACCATGGCCACACTGCATCCGGTCCACCCAGATGTCAAACTTCAGAGGCTGCCCTTCTACGACATGCTGGATGAACTCATCAAGCCGACCAGTCTAGGTGAGAAGATGTGTGTGAGGACTGTTTCTCTGGGATAGCTGATGACGTACATGCATCAAACTGTCATCTAATTATTGTGCAAATGTGACGCTGCAACAAGAACATAATAAGTGTTAATCGTTTCTGAGAGCAGATTGTTTATTTTTATCAGCTGGTACATAAGATATACCATATTTGGTCATACACAAAAAGCCAAATAATATGCATAATCACTTAAATGGTTTTGCTTTTACACAGAGAGGTTTCAGTGGGTATTAGGGATATTTATTTACATAAAGAGCTATTCAATTCAAGCCCATGCTGCCTTCTTTAATGGGCAGCCGTCTTTCTGCATGCTTATGTTGTATTTTGCTTTTGTAAGTTAAATGTTGCATGTTATTCGTTGCATCACCAATAACAAGTTGTGAGAAAAAGGTAAGCCTGTGGAGTAAATCTGGTGTGTTGGACAATTTTCAGCTGGGAGACCTAAACGATATTCTCTTATGGTTGTAGCCTCACGCACAAGCAACATGATCCATGAAGGTTTGATTTAATGAGAGATAAGAGTCCAGATCAATAACAGCCCCACCCCTCAGGACCACAGGTCCTTCTCAAGAAATTATCATATTGTGATAAGGTTCATTATTTTCTGTAATGTACTGATAAACATTAGACTTTCATATATATTAGATTAATTACACACAACTGAAGTAGTTCAAGCATTTTATTGTTTCTAATATTGATGATTTTGGCATACAGCTCATGAAAACCCCAAATTCCTATCTCAAAAATTAGCATTTCATGAAAAGGTTCTCTAAACGAGCTATTAACCTATTCATCTGAATCGACTAATTAACTCTAAACACCTGCAAAAGATTCCTGAGGCTTTTAAAAACTCCCAGCCTGGTTCATTACTCAAAACCGCAATCATGGGTAAGAATGCCGACCTGACTGCTGTCCAGAAGGCCATCATTGACACCCTCAAGCAAGAGGGTAAGACACAGAAAGAAATTTCTGAACGAATAGGCTGTTCCCAGAGTGCTGTATCAAGGCACCTCAGTGGGAAGTCTGTGGGAAGGAAAAAGTTTGGCAGAAAAGGCTGCACAACGAGAAGAGGTAACCGGACCCTGAGGAAGATTGTGGAGAAGGACCGATTCCAGACCTTGGGGGACCTGTGGAAGCAGTGGACTGAGTCTGGACTAGAAACATCCAGAGCCACCATGTACAGGCGTGTGCAGGAAATGGGCTACAGGTGCTGCATTCCCCAGGTCAAGCCACTTTTGAACCAGAAACAGCGGCAGAAGCGCCTGACCTGGGCTACAGAGAAGCAGCACTGGACTGTTGCTCAGTGGTCCAAAGTACTTTTTTCGGATGAAAGCAAATTTTGCATGTCATTCGTAAATCAAGGTGCCAGAGTCTGGAGGAAGACTGGGCAGAGGGAAATGCCAAAATGCCTGAAGTCCAGTGTCAAGTACCCACAGTCAGTGATGGTCTGAGGTGCCATGTCAGCTGCTGGTGTTGGTCCACTGTGTTTTATCAAGGGCAGGGTCAGTGCAGCTAGCTATCAGGAGATTTTGGAGCACTTCATGCTTCCATCTGCTGAAAAGCTTTATGGAAATGAAGATTTCATTTTTCAACATGACCTGGCCCCTGCCCACAGTGCCAAAACCACTGGTAAATGGTTTACTGACCATGGTATTACTGTGCTCAATTGGCCTGCCAACTCTCCTGACCTGAACCCCATAGAGAATCTGTGGGATGTTATGAAGAGAAAGTTGAGACGCAAGACCCAACACTCTGGATGAGCTTAAGGCCGCTATCGAAGCATCCTGGGCCTCCATAACACCTCAGCAGTGCCACAGGCTGATCGCCTCCATGCCACCCCGCATTGGAGCAGTCATTTCTGCAGAAGGACTCCTGACCAAGTATTGAGTGCATAACTGAACGTAATTATTTGAAGGTTGACTTTTATGTATTAAAAACACTTCTTTTATTGGTCAGATGAAATATGCTAATTTTTTTTAGATAGGAATTTGGGGTTTTCATGAGCTGTATGCCAAAATCATCAATATTAGAAACAACAAAAGGCTTGAACTACTTCAGTTGTGTGTAATGAATCTAATATAAATGAAAGTCTATCGTTTATCAATTCATTACAGAAAATAATGAACTTCATCACAATATGCAAATTTTTTTAGAAGGACCTGTATAATGAAGAAGAAAATATCATTTCTATTGCGCCTCTCAAGATAAAAATTACGAGGCGCTTCACAAAAACAAAAAATGTAAAAATATAAAAAAAGCATTTAGAAAATGTTTAAAAATATATTTAAAATGAACAAAAATAGGCAATTGCGATTAAAAAAATGTTAAGAAAGAGAGAGTGAACAGGAAAGAGGGAAATCAGTGGATCATAAGGAAGGTGGAATAGGTGGGGAGAGCAGAATAAAGAGAGAGTGGTGAAGAAGGTGATCATTAGATGATGTCTAATAGGGATGGGAAGATTTACTAGTTCATACGTATTCACAGATTAACACATATATAATACAGTTAGAGCAGGTTTGTTTCTGTAGGCTTTAGGTGAAACTTGTATGGAGAATGGATCTCTGTCTATATATAGCCCAATCCCAATACTTAACAATGGCTTAAGTGCCTTTTCTAAAAATATGTATTTTCCAACCAAATAAGTTATTTTTAAGACAATTAATGATATTTGATCATGCTCTGAATGTTTTCTACTAGGATTTAATGTGAACAGCAATGAATGTAAATTTTGTCGAGTGTTTGCTTGAAAGTTGTTAATAAAGATTTTTTTAAGTAGCACAAACAGCGACCGGCAGGCATTGTGGTCGATGATGCAATGGTCACTGACCCAATTCAACAATTATTTGCACACTTGTGTACTACACACTTGAAACCTCGCTGCACACTTCCTCCAAGTACTTTTGCTGCCATCCCTCCTGCTTAGAGGTGTTGGTTTTTTGTTATCAGTGACACCTGCTGTTTAGGAGGAAAACTGCAAAGGAAATTGGCAAAAAATGACTGAAAATGACCTTAGTTATTAATATTCCAGAAGGAAACAGTTAACCTGATTATGGGCGGTAACATTACATTAGGATAGGGCTAGTCTAATTGACATTGGATCTTTCCATTGCTTTGATGTTTACCTGTTGTACTTTAACATGATTATGGATGGAATTGGATCAAATCAGTTTTAGCTGCTCATGCGTCGATGTTGGCCAGAGAATCACAACCCTGATGTTCAAAAAAATCTCTGACCTACTTTGTCTGCAGAGGCATTAGCACACAACATCGGATTTTAATCAGATTAGAATTTCTGATTAATGATCACTTTTTTCAGCTCCTCACACCAGACGGTTGAAAACAACATTAAACTCCAACACACAAACTGTTCTCATGAAATGGATAAAACTGTTTTATCTTTCTCATAAAACATTGTTGATATAAAGGCTCATCTCTTGAGTAGCAGATTTAGGAAACATCCAGAATCTTTGTCTGTATATCTCCATGGAGGCCAAGCCTTTCAGTCTGATGTCATGTCACCCGTCTGCCCTCTAATGTATTACTTAACAGACTTTTAATCTTGGATTTTATGTCTGTAAGATTTGTCTTTGCATCACACCCAGCACCAAGCCTGTACTTAGCATAATAACAATCTCTGGGCTCTGGGATGTATTGCAAATATATGGAAATGTCTAGATTTTCCTACATTAGCATTTTAATAGAGTAAGAGGCCGTCTCGTGATTAATTTGCCTGCAGATGCATGTACAAACACACTGCCTGCAGCTCTGTCATCACACCATCCTTCTTCTTTTTCCTACTACTTTCAAAGTCTACCCATTTCCTGCACACGTTTTATCCCTTTACGCCTCTTCTCCCTTTTTCTCTTTTTCTCTTCAGTCTCCATGGCCATCCTGGGTCAGGATTTGCATGTGGAGTGGTGAAATCATTCAGGCATGCACCTGAACCTGCAGAACACGCCCTCCTCTTATTTGAATTTGAAGGGCACGTTCACACCCTCGCCACTTACAGTAGTTTGAAAATGTTGTTGCTGATAAGTAATGCATGCACTGAGCATTTTATTCCCATGGAAGAGCAAAAGGAGTGATGGAAGTAAACCCTCTGTGTGAAATGTTGCACATCTTTCCATTACACAAAGAATTTGTCTTAGTGAGCTTTTTGTTGTCCCTTGTAGAGAACCGAATTGAAGCAGCTTGACTGATTGATGTTTCCTTTTGTTTTAGTCAAGCACCCATAATACTGGTATGAAAATGAAGCCAACAAGGAAGTGACCAAAATTGCAGTTCCACCCTCATCCACTGGGGGCTGGTGTCAGAAGCGAGCAAATCCTCATTGACTCATGTTAAAAATATCAATTTCACAGCAGAAATAAACGTGTTTACAGCCTGGTACCAATACATGTTTTTGGTTTAATAGATCTAATTTTACACTCATGACAACTCTGAGGGGGGTGAATTTTTTGTCACACTTCTGTTTAAGTGTATTAAAAGCCTAAAATTCTGTATAATTAATGAGCATCAGACCCACGTGACCGCAGAGCTAGCTCCGGGGAAAGGCCTCAGCCTGAGCCTCAGCCTCACCTGAAAACTGTTCCGGCATTTTCAGTCTCTCAACGTAGACCATTAGTGGTGCAGTTTGTGTGTTCTTGTTTGGATATTATTTGTGCGATTGTTGAACAAAATGACTTGCTGTGGTATTAATTGCACTAATAGAGGGTCCAAGAAGTCTCCACTTAATTTTTTTCGGTAAGTAAAATTATATTTATGTATTCATGTCGATGATTTTAGGTCACTGCCGCTCTTGCGCTAGCTGAGCTTAGATTTTAACATGTACTGTCTAACCATGAAATTTAAATGTATTGGGTAAAACCCAGTGCATTTAACATAACGCTGCATTTTTGAAAATGGGTTGAAATTAGGGCTGCACAATATACTGAAAAATTATCGTCATCACGATAACAGGACGTGCGATAAGCCCA